CTCTTCAGGCAATAAAAAATGCTTGATAACAAGAAGAAAAATTTGAACGGAAGTTAGAATATTTTTTGAATGGATTTTCATAAAATCCTAACGCCTTTAAATAAGGCAATGCCTAACTCGAGGGGCTGGATTTTTTGATATATAGCGTGGTATATCACCGCGCTATACCCATTTGAATTATTGTTATGTCAGTTAACCCCATGAGACTTATCGATGGGCCCACAAACAGGTATAGCGCGGTATTACACCGCGCTATATATATATTTGAATTACTGTTATGTCAGTTAATCGCAGGAGACTAATTGGTGGACCCACATACATGTATATGCGGTATTACAGCGTGCTATATATAATGTGACATTACACCGCGCTATACTTTAACGATAGAAACACCGTTAAAGTATAGCGCGGTGTAATACCGCGTTATATATAAAAATATAACTTTTTTAGCAGTAGAAACGTATTTTGAGTCCAAAAACCCAACATTTAGGTTTCAGACTCCTTAAATATCCACCAAAATGTAATTATTAAACATCTTGGATTTGGCTCACCTCCAATATAGTGTTTGTTTAGTTCCATCACATCAAATTTAATGACATTTGTCCACATTCAAATCTAAGAATTAAGATTTATATAGAATAAACAACCTTTTAACCCTTGTTAAACTTGAAATTTGTTTAAATCTAGCTGAGAATTTCATTTAACTTTTTTCGTTTTCATTTCATTAGTTGCGTATTTGGCCAAGCTTCTCCAAGGCAACAAAAAGTATTTTTATTTTAAAGTTGAAGTGTTTGGCCAACCTTCTAGAAAAAAAAAGTATTTTTTGGTAGAAGTAGAAGCAGTTTTGGAGAAATAGAAAAAAGCAATTTCTCTTCAAAAGCATTTTTGAGAAAAATACACTTAAAATCACATTTTAAAAGTTTGGTCAAACACTAATGGATGCTCAGAAGTGCTTTTCAAATTAATTAGTCAAACACAAACTGCTTCTCCCAAAAGCACTTTTGACGTAAGCACTTTTGAGAAGAAAAAAAACTTCTCCAAATAAACTAATTTTAGAAGCTTGTCCAAAAGGACTATAAATCGTGAGCAAAGGCTAACTTTGTGTGTTTTAACTTTGTTTCTTCTTCACATTAAATTCAATAAAATCTAAAATATAAACTAACAAAAGTCCAAAATGCTTAGGTTTTGTAAATGGTGAGAAATTATACTTTAGATCAAAAAAGGCAAAATACATAAGTAGCCACCTGAACTATACAACAAATCCTTATTACATATTTTTGAGGACCAATATCACCTTATACACATAACCTATTAAAATTGTATTTAGTGCACACTACTTTTTTTACTAACTTTTTTTTGGAGATTGCATTTGTGTGCCAATGAATGCGACACGTGTCATAACTCATCTGTAAATAAATATATTCCCCAAGCACCCCCACCCCATCAGCGTCCTCGTCAGCCATGGAGTTCAGAAGAGGAGAGCAATCTCAAATTATTCATTCTAGTGTATGAATAGGCTAACAATGAAAGAGATGACACGAACTAGCACTACGTCTAAATGCATGAGAATAACCCGGCGACAAAAGGATATCATGTAACAACAATTTCAACTAAGAGTAACTCCACAATAAAAGAAATCACATAATGATAAAAGTGGTAACAACTTCAAATAAAGCATATAAGAGCAAACTTGACAAGTAAAGAATGTGACATGTAAGTGCAACTTCAAATAAAGCATGTGATAGTAGACATGACAAATAAAAGATATGACATGTGCTAACAATTCCAAATAAGCACATGAAAGAAGCCCGAGAGTCTAAGCTGGTCAAGTTTTCATATATAAGCACGAATACATACTCGTCACCTCGCGTACACGACTTTCACATTACACAAATAATACAAATGACTCAAATCCTAAAGGGTAGTTCCCCCACACAAAGTTAGGCGAGATACTTACCTCAAAGAAGCTAAACCGATATTCTGAAATGACCTTCTCGTGTGAAGCAATCACCGGACGACTCAAATCTTGCCAGAATAACTTAATATCGTAAATAAAAACCATAGGAAATAATTTCGGATAATAAAGCCTCGGTCTTTAATGAAAACTAAAAAGTCAACCCTGGGCCCTCACCTCGGAACCCAACAAAATTTACAAAATCCGAAGACCCATTCTGATACGAGTCCAACCATACAAAAATTATCCAATTCCGACATCAAATCGGCCTTCAAATCCTCATTTTTATATTTTTGAAAATTTATACAAAAATTCTCATTTTCTCCCATTCAAATCTCTAATTTAATATAAAAAATAAAGATGAAATCATGAAATGTAATCAAAATAAAGAACATTTACCCAAATCCAAGGTGTGAAAATCCCCTTTAAAATCGCCCAAATCAGAGCTCCATAGCTCAAAAAATGATAAAAAGCCAAGACCTTCAAAATAGAGTACTTTAAACACTACTCCAGAGGTACCCTTTGTGATCGCAATCACCAACCTCGCGATCGCGATTCAAAAAATTTTCAACACAAATTTTCGCCTTCACGATCGCGGCCATTTCCCCGCGATCGGGATGAACAAATTCCCATTACCCTTCCCAAACTCTTCTCAAATACTCTGTATTGTAATAGTCATAACCTTTTGTACAAAACTCCAAATGATCAACAATTTAGTTTTCTGAAAACTAGGCTCAAAGAGACAACTTTTATTTTTTGATGGCCTCCAGATTCCTTATATATTGCAAGTTACAAGCTTCCAAAATCGGGTCAGTGACAACAGAAATTTCTCTACGCGATTGTGAAAAGGCTTCCGCGATCGCGATTCACAATGCCCAAACAACAAATTTGCTTTTCGAGAACACGATCCAAAGTCTGTGATCGCGAAGCATACCCCTGTAACCAAAAACCAGCAATTAAAAATGGCCTAGAAATAGTCCAGAACAATCCTGAAACTCACCTGAGCCCCTCGGGACCCCGTCCGAATATACCAACAAGTTTTATAACATAACGCGGACCTGCTCGAAACCTAAAAATGCATCAAACAATATCAAAAACTACGAATCGCACCTCAAATCGAGCTTAATGAACTTATGAACTTTCAACTTCTACAACTCGCGCCGAATCATATAAAATCAACCCGGAATAACCTCAAATTTTGCATGCAAGTCCCAAACGACATAACAGAGCTATTCCAACTCTCTAAATCACAATCCGAGCCCGATATTCACATAGTCAACTCCTGGTCAAACCTCTCAACCTTCCAAACCTTCAACTTTTTAATTTTCGTCAAAAATGCATCAAATCAACCTAAGGACCTCCAAATCGAAATCCAGGCATACGCCTAAGTCAAAAATTACCATATGAAGCTATTGGAATTATCAAAATACCATTTTGGAATCGTCTACACACAAGTAAATCTCTAGTCAACTCTTACTGCTTAAACTTCTAAGACAGGAATCATCCTTCTAAATCAATCTCGAATCATCTGAAAATCGAACTCGACCACACACACAAGTCATAATACATAAACACGAAGCTATTCGAGACCTTAGGCCATTGAACGTGACGCTAATTCTCAAAATGACTGGTCGGGTCGTTACAAAATATTAACTTAGGTGATAATAAATTAACTATTCTCTCCGTTTCAATTTATATCCCATAATTTTCTTGTTAGTCCGTTCCAGAAAATGACACATTTCTATATTTAAAAATAATTAACTTTAAACTTTTTACTTTACCCATTTTATCACTAAAATATTATGACCCCACAATGTGTTTATTCTTTTAAATTTTAAAGACCGCAAATATTATTTTTTTTAAAACTTTATGTCGAGTCAAACTAGCTCATATAAGTTGAGACGAAGTGAATACCGTTTTTACCAAATTACTAATTAATATATATCATAAAGTAATTAGTTTACAATTGACCTAATAGCATATATATTTTTTACATTATCGCCGCATAAAAATTAAAGCTCTTCGAAGGAAAGGTCCATTCCCTCAATAAAATTACGGTGGGGGTGTGTTTTGATGAAAGTTGTTTCGTTATTAGGCAGCATACAACAACAACAACGATCCAGTTAAATTCTACTAGTGGGGTCTTTGGGGAAGGTAGTATATAAGCACACCTCATCCCTACCCCAAGGGCGCAAAAAAGCAATTTCCGAAAGACTCTCGGCTCTAAAAGACGAAAAGAAGACGAAAAGAAATAATATATTAGTACCATCAAAAGAAACCATAAAACAAATAACAACATCACCAAAACTAGAAAATTGATGAACAACGAAACAATAACCACCAGATACAGCCACCTAAAAGGATTATTAGGCAGCATACAATTCCACAGAAAATGAAAAAAGCACTTGAGTCTGCAATTAAGAATAATCTTATTTAACTTTTACGAATGACGTACTGGTTGTTTCAACTCTTCGAAGGAGTTACTCTTCGAAGTTACTCCCATCGTCTGTGACGGTGTTCGAAATTCGAAAGTCAAACGAATGACTCTTCCATCACAAATTTTTCGAAAGTCATATACCTTTTAAATATTGGAGTACGAATTATTAATTATTGTGACTTATAATAGTAATTTTTACGTAGTTTTCAAATATGTAAATTTTATTGGGAAAAATTTGAAGATTCTATGTTATAATACACGGTCAAAATTAACAAGCTTGAATATCAAAAAATAAAAAGTATCACATAAATTGAGATAGATGGAGTATATTATGACCAAAAAAGTAATTTAATAGACACTAGACAGGCAGGTATTAGCTTTGATGCTGGCTAGATCTGCGATACTGGATGCTCATACAATTCCGTACGAAGGACAGCACCATTAGAGGCGATGGAAAAACGTGATTGACCATGTGGGTGCTTGGATTTATGTTTTACTTGTAAATACTCCCACTTGTTTCACCTTCAGAGGAATAGCATAATAACCTGAATATTTACTTCTTAAATTACCGTGGGCAAAAACAAAAGGAAGCGAGGCCAACAGAGAAAATTTATTAGTGTTTCATTTAGCACCATGTAAAAGAATATTGAAAAACTTACTACACTTAAAAGACTAGAAGCCAACGTAATTCTTTCAGGAAGTAATACAATTTTTCCGCCTAAATTTACCATGCATGTTCGTATAAAGAAAGATATCTCTCAACCTGAAGAACATAGGCAAGTTGAAGATCTCTTTGCATTACCGCGTCTGGACTCACAGCTTGTTGCAGTGGTTGTCGTGTGGACAAACACCAGGAACGGGGCATGAAGTCTAAGTTTTTCAGTCAGGTCCAACACTATGAAAAACTTTCTATTGTAGTGCTGACCAAAAATAACAGATAATTCGCCAAAAGAAATTTGTCCGATCTCACTCAAGTCAGAAACATGCCGTGCTTGCTCTATTTTCATACTCCCTCGGTGATACTCTGATTCGCTCGTCATGTCACTAGGGGCAGATGTGAAGTATCACACCATCTGGTTTGCTCTACTATATTTGGATGCAAAGGCGTGCTGGCATATGACTTTATGCGTTCCTCAGCATGGATTGCCTGCACAAAATAACATTTGTTATCCCCTATTCTGAAACCAAGTTGCCTAAGCCATCTGTCTAGAATTGCATGTCATGAAAAAGAAAGTTTGAAGTATGAATTCTTACTATACAAGTGGACATGAAACTCAACATATTGTGTCCTGTCAAGACCCCACAATCTGTAAACAATATACTAACCTCTTCATGCCAGTTAGTTCGGAACATTTTCAACAACAAAATTACTGTTTGAAGGAGGCTGCCAAACAACATCCCAGACCAGATCCCCTCCACTCCAAAATTGGCAAGGTAACCGAGGCAGGCACCAATTGGTAGGCCGATTACATAGTAGCAAACTATATTTATGATTGCAACTGAAAATTGCCATCCAGCTCCAACTGCCACCCCTGCATTTATCAGAAGAAAAAGGCAAAGTTATGCATAGCGACAACATAAACTTCGCCTCTTGTTTCACTTCTCTCTTTTTTTTTTCTTCTAACTTTTGGGAAGGTTATAAGTTACCATGAAGTACAGGCTGGATGCTGTTGAGAATGATGGTCGCAGCCAAGAAGTACCCTAATTTTGATGTCTCCTTTATGACCTCAGGTTTACTAGAAAACAATACGGGGAAATGGTTCTTAGCTGCAATAACTGCAGCAGTAAAGAAAACTCCAACAATCATTGATGTAACTACAGCAACCACAACTGAGAATTTTGCAGCTTTTGGACGACCAGCTCCTAGTTCATTGGAAACACGCACACTGCATAGTAAGAATTAAGAGTAACTTTACAAAACATGGAATTCTAAGTATGCTATTGTAACAAATGTTTTGCATGTTGTTTTCAAACTCCCCTGCTAGACTGTTTTTTCTTACATACAAGACAGTTGTAACATGCAAACTTACAGATCATATTTAGCTACCGATTTGGACTACCATTAAATCAAGTGTAAAGGATCAAAACCTGACTGCGGCATTGAAACCTAGAGAGATCATCAGTGTCCATAATTGCAAGTTCATGCTGTTGCAAAGAGGAGATGAATGAATAAGAACAAAAGGTGAGAACAGATTCTTAAAACCTGGAAAAAGCATAGTTAAGGTCCACCAACCAGATTGATATAGCATCTACTGCAATTTCCGGATTCTTTAACCACCCTACCATAAGAATCACCACTGTGTAATACCAGAGCTCCAGGCTGTCAATATCGCTTAGCAAATCAGTAAGATAAATGATCAAACTTTTTGTAAGAAAAAATAATTGTATCATGAGAAAGTAAGGAAGTTACCAGAGCATGATAGCTGATGCAAGTGACAGTTTTAAAAAACCCCACAGTGATTTGAATGCTAATGTGGAAAATCCAGTCCATGCTTCAGGGAAGTAACCGGAGATAACATAGACAAATTGAGCTATAACCACAAGCCACCATGAGATATTCCCTGCTATGGCAGCACCAAGTAGGCCATGCCCGCATTTTGTCACCAGCACCCAATTTAGTACAACATGAAGTGCCAATATAACTAGATTAATCACTGTCATAACCCATATTTTTCCTTGAGCTTGGAGGAATTTTTCAACAGGGAAATTGAGCGCGTAAGCATACAATTGAGGAATCACCCATATCGCATACTTTCCAGCAAGTTCTGAAATACTTGTATTCTGGTGTAGTAACTTCAGTAAAGGTGATGTGAATATGTAAAATGGTGTCAGCAATAAGGCTGTTACAAGAGTAAGGACACATGATCTTTGCATGTAGATTCCAAGCATATCATATTTTCCAGCTCCAACAGCTTGACCACAGAGTGTCTCAAGGGCACTTCCCATACCTAGCTAATACAACAAATTCAGACAAAAAATGAAGAGTCAGTATTCAAATCCAAGTATATTTCCCTGGTCTCAGTTTCATTTTTCACTATAGAAATGAGCAGTTCAACACCTTTCTTTCCATTGACATAAAGAGAAGTCAAGTTTTATTTTGGCATTTTCATCTATAGAAGTAAATGCCTTGTTCATATCGTAAATAGTACTATCCCCTTTCATCATTTAAAAGAATATCTTTTAAATTCTACAAGGCTGCTTAGCACCTCCATCAAGAAGACTATTCAAACTCTTTCCCAATCCTAGTTCCTAGTAACATTTATAACTAGGAAAACAAAGAGAAAAAGGAGAGAAAGAAAAGTCGTAACAAATTTTGTTACAAGATAATATGAGAATCCTTAATAGTTATGGATTGTTAGATGCATTAACAGCAGTTATTTAAAGATTTTTTACACTGTGAAAGCAATTAATTAATCCGTTACAGCAAGTTATTGCTCCATTATCAGTTTATCCATATCAGGCTTTATATGGAGAGTGGTAAGTCAATTTAACCTGATAGAATTCTTCACATAAACTCATCTTAGACTTACGTACCATTATTCCATAGACAAATCCTTCAATCACATTCTGAACAATAGAGACAGCAGCTAGCTCCGTAGACCCAAGATGGCCTATGAATGCAACCGTGACAAAGCCAATGGAGAACTGAGCCACTGCTGTCAAAACGGCTGGTGCTGCTATCTTCCACATCTTCCTGGATTCAACCCAGCTTTTTTCTCCCGTTTTCTTGGCATCATCATAATCATCAGCCTGAAATTTCCTTTCCATTTCAAAAGGCCCTACAGACTCCATTATGTTGTACTTGTGCTTCTTCTCTTGACTTTCCTTCACCATGAAAATTACATATATACTTGCCTGTTACTTTAGTCCCTTCTGCTATATATATGTTCACAAGAACTGCACAAATATATGTTAAGAGAAAAAACAGGCTGAGTTCTTTAAAATTTGTCGACCCTATTTTCACGTTGGTTCATGGAACTAAAATTCATTCATCATGACAAGCCTGAACGTTCCTTGAACAACTAATTGAATGTGTTTATTCAAAGAATTTCTGGATTTGTTGGAGAACATTGCCGGCTTATAATATTGTTGTGTCAGATGAATGATGCTAGTTGTTGCCTAGTAGGTTTGACATTGTACAGATTTCATGGTCATAAAATAAGTGCTTGAACTTCCCTTTTTCCTAATCTTGTGACGAGATTCTCGTCAAGCAATTATAAATATCGAATCTTGACGGATTCAAAGGTTTCAAACCCAAACTAAAATTGTATAGCTTCTTATGTGCTTAAAACTCTGGCAAGAGTCAAATTCTTTAATTCTGGACATGAAAATTTTAAGTTTTAAAAAAAAAAAAAATTTAGATATTTGAAAACTAGTAAAAAATACTACAATTCATAATAATTGATAATATAAATATTTAAGACATGAAAAATTACAATTAAAAAAAACAATTTGACTCTCGAAATCCACATAATGCTACATAAATTAAGATGTGTGTGTGGGGGGG